CACATAAATATTCGTTATAATTTCAAAACTGTCCGTTATAACTATACAGACAGCAGCGAGCACTGCATGTAAATTTTAATGTTCATATTTCATCAAATTCTCAACAACAAAAAATCTAAAGCAAATAAAAAGCTGAGAGCGCATGCAATACCTAACCGTGCTTTTCAATGCATTTGCTTTTATTTACATAGTTTTTGCTCGATTTTGCATTGCATTTGCGCTGCACTTTTACTCAGCTGTCAACACTGAGCGCTAAGCTATCAACACGCTATACATTCTGCAGTGTTTTTTTTTTTGTGTTCGTTTTATTTAGCTCTCACTGTTATTCATTGGGTCAAAGACCTGTAGGAGGTCGTTTCTGCAATACCGGTGCAAGCAGCAATTCTGTGGTAATGCAAGTCTATGTGTATAACGCTGATGTTATGACTTATATATTGACAGCAAAGGTAACAGTAACTGTTATAACAAAATAACATTTACTTGCATTTTTCTAGAACAGCAGTAGATTATTGTGGGGCCAATAACAACTGCAACAGTTGCAGGAAAACTGTAACACTCGTAGTGATACATACATTGCTTTACAGATAAAATATGAGTATAATATGTATTTGATTGTTTTTTTTTCACTTCTTTCGCTACAAAATTTATTTATGAGAGAGTGTGGTTTTTTAAATTTAGAAGTAAATTTTTTTATCTCAAAAGCTCATATCCAGAAAGCTTAATTGTTGTTAAGTTTGTGTGCTGCATTGCTCGCGCGCTGCATGAAAGTGAGCTGCTACTGTTTCTCAATCCTGTTGCTTACGAAATGTTGAGTGAGGTCTGCACACGAAAGCAGGCATTTCTTATGAGCGTTATTTTCAAATAGAGTAACAAACATTTTCCTATAGGAATGCAAATGTTGCAATGCTGAGTAAAAGCTGCTATTGGCACATAAATTGCATTTTTTTTTTGGTTTTTGGACTTAAACTAAATGTGCTGGTTAGGGGTATATGACTTTAAATTAAAATAAAATAATGACATTATAAACTTTTAAAATCAGAACTGACTTTATAAGAATGATAAATTAATTAATTGAATATAATTTCGTACATGTCGGCGCCTCGGCTGTGGCGCACTCGGGAAGTGTAAGCTTCGACCACGTTTTCAAGCAATGGTAGCCATATCTGGGCAATGGTTCGCGCGAGGTGTTCGAAGTTCTGATTTGATCACATAAACCAATGACTTCACGTAATCCCAGCAAAAAAATGTATTCTCGATGAACAATTTACTGGCCCATTTAGAGAAAAAACGCTTTCACGAAATGGTTCCTTCATTAAGTCGATTTTTTGATGCGCTGTAAGTCATGTAGCGACGTCCTGTGGAGAAAAAGCAGCTTCAGTCAATATTCCATTTAATTTTAGAGACGAAATAATCTTAACTCATTGTTCATTGAGTAAGTTTTATTGAAAGTATTGCCAATCGCTAGCTACACTACGCTAAAACAAACTGCTGGTCTTTGGAGACCAAGAGAGTGTAAAGGCAATTTTTTGATACGACTACCATCAATTGAAGTGGAGCGTACTGCCGCAAGGGTGCTCTTCATCGACCAGAACCAACAGTAGTCTTATGGTACAAGGTCTTCCCATCCGTAGGCAAAAAACTGACATAGGCGTCACACGAAAGAAAATGTTGTTTACACTTTGATAAAGTAACACATACAGCAAAATGTGACTCTTTAACATGAAGTTGGCTGCAACATTCTCCGGTATGCTTAAACACTACAGGTACCCTCTGTTGACGATCCTTCTATAACTTGCGTGCATAACCAATAATAAAGTTTTCAAACTCATAAGAGGCCAAATAAGGTTAGATTGCGGAAAAAGCTATTTTGCAAATAAAAAAATCTAGAAAGAATTTGATTTAACATGACATAAATACACGTTTACTTATATTTTTTTGTGGACTTATTCGGAACATTTTGTAGTTTTTTCGAGATTTTTCGGGGTTCCTTCTAATATTTCGGTAGTTCTCTTAAATCAACTTTGAAATGCCAATTGGTTGCATAATTTTAGGATTTTATCAATTCGGTTTTATAGTGACGCAGCATTTTGTATGGCAGAGTTTTATGAAATATTCTTAATTGAAAACTGCAAATCTTTCAGGCAGTTTGGACCCCGTGCTGAAAAGGAAATCTGAGAACACGTACATAGGCTAAAGGCCCTTTTAGGAAAGTCGATACTAGTGCTATGGAAAAAGAAGCTGTCTAACCAAGCTTTGTAAATCATGTCGACAATTTCGTATTTATCATCAGATATGGGAGGTATCGAACCATTTTTCGGCATATAAGTTCATTTTCCTTCAAACTTTTTGTTGTAGCCGGGCAGTAAACCGACTTCACAAAAAGGAAAAGGTTATCAATTCGTCGGAATATTTTTTTAATATATATTTTTTTTCATTTTTTTTTATGTGTGTTACAGCATAACTTTGGACCACGTCAGTTGAATTCGATAATTCTTTTTCTATCGGAAAGGTTTAAATCCGATTATTGCATCATAAAGAAATAAACGGTACTCATAAATTTTTATACGAGAATTGAAGTCTGTTTTGTTTTCAATTCGTCGGAATATTTTTTTTTTTTAATTTTTTATTTGCTTAAAAACTACTTGTTCCATTAAAAGTCATAAACACAACATTCCACAGTAAATGATACATAAGTGCTTCTTATTAAATATTACCGTTCTCTTGCTACCACCCAGACGTTGTCACCCTTGGAAATTCCCGAAATATAGACCAGAACCGCGTTTTCCTCCATCTTCGAGTCAGAGTTGTGAAAAATGCATTAATTTTTTAATGCATTAATGGTATTTAAAGCAATAATGTTAATGTAAAAAATTAATGCATTAATTTATGAAATTTAATGCAAATTAATATTTCAATGCATTAATTCTGAAATATGTAATGCTAATGACATTTTTTTTTCATTAAATTATCCAAGCTAATGCTAATGAAAAAATTTTAATGCACTAAAATGTTTAATGCTTTTGCCCGTTTGCATTATTAAAAAACATTCAATTTTTTTTCTAGTAAAATATAAATAACCTCTTTCGGAAGGACTTGGAATAATTACCAATAGGTTTTTCAGCTTCATTATATTATGTGTATTTGTAGAAAAATTCTTCTAAANTATGTAATGCTAATGACATTTTTTTTTCATTAAATTATCCAAGCTAATGCTAATGAAAAAATTTTAATGCACTAAAATGTTTAATGCTTTTGCCCGTTTGCATTATTAAAAAACATTCAATTTTTTTTCTAGTAAAATATAAATAACCTCTTTCGGAAGGACTTGGAATAATTACCAATAGGTTTTTCAGCTTCATTATATTATGTGTATTTGTAGAAAAATTCTTCTAAACATTGTTAGATGTTTTATGAAAACGAAAGCCAATGTGCATGCAACGCAGAGTCCTTTTGTAGATTTTTTGTTGATTGATGCATACCGATTACATATATTAAGTATGAGCCAAAAACGGACAGATAGCCAGTTTAGCAGCGCATGTACACGACTGAGGACCTACTCTGATCTAAATCAATCAATAAACCGTTTTTTAGATCTAATTTGACAATGTGATTTTACCTATTTAACGACAAATGCCATTGAACTTGACATAGTGAAAACCAGCCCTAACGTCCGTCACTATCTTTTTTGACCTTAAAATTCTACCCTCAACGTCAGCAAAGAATTTTTACTTCAAAATAAAATTAGTTAATTTTTAATGCTTGTTATAATTTTAATGCAATCAATTATTGCAATAGCATTTATTTAAACATTTTAATGTTAATACAAAAAAAATCATTAGCATTATTTCTTCGGAACTAATGCATTGAAATTTTCATTTACATTAAAATGCTATGCATTAAAAAATTTAATGCATTTTTCACAACTCTGGTATGTACGTATATATCTATATAAATAAAAAAATTTTTGGATATCAGACACAGAAACTTTTTCAAAGGAATCGTTTTGAAAAATCCAATTAAAGAAAAAGTTCGACCGCCCCAGTGTTAATAAATTTGAATTGTGTACTTTTAAAACTAAAATAAATACCATAAAATGAATAAATATTTTAATTTATAAAAGAATACTTTAAAAAATATGTATGTTTGCAAAAATAATCGATCTCCCCAGTGATTAGGTACGATTTATGTAATAATTATCGCTTGTAGGAGAAAAAACGTACTCTATTGTAAACTGAAAGAAGATTTATTTAAAAAGCATGAATTTCTAGAAAGGATATTGTGTGTAAATGAGTGGATGCCCTTCAATTGTGGAGTTAAAACAAAAAAAAAAAACATTTGAAAGGCAAGTACCTCATTAAAAAAAAGTAGTAAAAAATAAATTAATACAAGCCTTTATTAGTGGTTAATAAAAAAAAGAAAAAAACCGACCCGGATCACTTAACGGCTAAATTTTTTTTTGTATTTTACCTTTCCATTAAAATAATAAACGTTCTAAATATGGAACAAATCGGTCCATAAATATGGGTTTTTCTAATACATACCGCGCCACCTACCGGCTAAATTTTTTGTAGAATTATTTCCTTCTATGTAGGTAATATCATTTCAAATACGAATCATATCGGACCATAAATACGGGTACACAAATATTTTGACTCCTGCGCCACCTATCGGCCAAACTTTTTATGGAGTTATGCCAGTGAGAAAAGAAAACTATCCTTTGGAATTCAGTGAGGGAGTAGGTACAAAAACGCGTGAATTTTGAAAACTTCTTTGAAAAACCTAGCATTTTTTTACACTAAATGCATTATTATAATGTGTACTAAAATTTTGAGGGAAAATCGTTAAATATTAAAAAAAAAAATTAAAAAATTCATTTCGAAAAAATTTACGCGTTCACCCTAGTAAATACAATAAATAGATATATTTTACACCGTAGCTATGTGTATGGTTTAAACACTGCCAGGCGTTTTAATAACAGCATTTTTTCTCTTTCCTTACAGGAATGCCAAACTGTCTCTTCAACACCTACAATAACAACAACATTAAGTAAGTACTAAGTAAAGTCTAAAAGGCAGCAGTATTTGTATAATTTTTTTTTTTGCTTTGTTAATTTTTTCTGCAGTAATTCAACTCAATTTAGCAAACAAACAATCACATAAACACACTCACATATATTTAAATGCTTTTTTAGAGCAGCAATTTTTATAGCAGCTATTTAAATTCATTAAAATACATGTGGCATGCAACATTGTATGTACCTACTCGTACTCGTGTGCAACCCAAAAACACTTCCTCAATAAATCAGCGTAAACGGTCAAAGTTACAAGTAAAGTAAACAAGGAAAAAACAACAAAAATTGCAATAAAATTGGCATAGCAAATAAAATGAACTACGAAAAAAATAAAAAAAACTGCAACAAATAGCAAAAGCCAGCACCATAAGGCCTATAGAAAGAAGCTGAAATAAAATGAATACAAAAAAATAAAATAACTTTTTGAAGCGCAATAAACGCTTTGCAAAAGTCAACTGAAGTGCGGGTTCGAGACCCCCAAAAATTTGAAGCGCGTTCATGCGGCATGACATACAATTTGCCGGAAAAGTTCATATGAGGTAAGCGTTGTGGCGCACACACACACACACACACAGATTTACAAATTGCTCAGGAGCATAACAAAAAAAAATAAAGCAAAAATATTTATGCAGTCACATGAAAAAGAGAAATATCAAAATCGCCACTTTTGCCCCAATTGAACTCCAAATGCGCTATCGCGCTACAACATGCAACATGCCACATGGCGCGTTCGTCGTCGTCAACGCTTTTCTTTCATTTCCATTTCATTTTTCGCGCAGCTATTACATTTTCTATGTTGCCGTCGGTTGGACGGACGAACAGGCAGACCGACAGACCGACAGACAGATAGCCTGAAAGCCACTGAAGCCGACAGTTCGTTCATTAGCTGCTTTAGCTATTGTGCAACATGCCACACAACCTACACTGCTGGCACAGAAAACTGAAATTTGCAAACATTTGCGCAAAAACTAAAAAAAAATTAAAAAAAAAATTGCAGCGAAAATATTAAAAAAGTGAAGTTGCAAATAAAAGTCGACGATAGCAGCGCGGCGGCAATGCTTTTGCTGTTGCTTTTGTTATTGTTGCCGGAAAGCGCTTGCAATTTCGCTGCACACGCTTACGTAATCGCAATTGAAGTTGTGCGCCAACATGCATACTTACCTACACACAAGCATAATATTGCGCTTTTCTACTTTTCTCGCGCCGCACCAACCCCACCCGCAAATAACTCAGCGCTTTACAAGCTTTTGACGAATGCACATTTCTATGCTTGCTGTCTGCGATACCCATACATAGTTACATACGTTCATACCGCCATCCAGCGCAATTGTGCCACAAGCCACTTCAAGCGCCACACACACACACACACAACGAAGCTTGCAACTCCACTTCAACGCCTGGTGTTGCGCGCTTCCCTCTTCAATGCATTCCAACTGCACTTCAGCCATCCATTCAACTCGCGACCTACCCACGACGTTCATACACATACCTTCTTCTCATCACATTCGTCCATCTGCAGTGCTGCTTATGCCGCCTAGTCTTCTACCGCCCTCGCTTGGTACTGGTTTTCGTTTAGTCTACAGAGTTTTTTGTTGCCGTTTATTATCTAATCGCTTTTGCATTTGTTTTCTTTGTTGTTGTTGTTGTTGTTGTTGCTGTTGGCCTCTTTTGCAAACTTTTCCGCTTTTCACGTTCAACGACGATGATCGTCATGAATTCTCCATCATTCATTTCGCTTTTTTTATATTTTATTTATGGTTTTTTTATTTTTGATGCACTCAGTGACTCCTTTTTTCTTGTTTCTCCGTTATCTTGCGGCTTTTGTGGCTTGCGGTTTCTATGCCGTTGCTTGTTTGTGAATTTTTACAATTTTATTTTACCTACTTTCAAGACTTTTCCAGCGGCAGCTAGCCGATTGTCTTTAGCCTGTGGCAGATGATTATGCAATACACTGTGTGGTGGTAAGACAGTTATAACGCCAACGTCTAAAACGAGGTCTACTTAGACTTGTAATGTGCACTCATCGAGCTGTAGGATATTTATTAGCTGCACGTAAAAATTTTCGGTTAGATCAGGACTGTTTATATGATATTGGGAAAGCCTAACAGACGAAATTTACACAAACTGCAGTATGTAGTATCGGATGAATCGGGCAGAGTGCACTAAGACTCCAATCTTGGGTTAGGTTTTCATATAACCAACACTTGATTATTAATTGGCAACTATGTCGACTGTGGTATGGTCTACGAACGAGGCTACTTGGACGTTTTATGATTGGCAGAAACTGTATAGTTATATGGTCGTTGTTACATATCGACACCTCGAAATCATACCATGCTAAGTCACCTTAGACTTAGTCAGACTTAGCATAATAGGGTTTGGAGGCGTCGATATGTAGCACTGATCTGGGGCCAAAAGTGAGCAAGTAAGTGCGGGTGCCACCTTTAGCAAACTGCACTGACTGGTCTGCGTGGCCATCACAGGATCTGTCCAACGGATTCACTTGGTGGCATTAAAGGCAGTCCTGCCCAATACAATCAGCGTGGAAGCTTCAGGGTCATTGAAAGGTTCTCAAACCATTCCTGGAAGATACCGCTCTTAAGCTTACAGACAACGCCCTACCGAAATTATGCTTTTAAAATCCCTAAAAGGTCAGAATTTCTGAAAGGCAATGCAGTGCAGCGATAATATGTATCTATGATTGATGAAGGTGGTATTCCAGGCGGAAGTCTTCGCAGTTGAATTCTTTGTTCGCTAATGTCTTCGTGTAGGGACAAATAGTGGTAGAATAAATATTATATCGAAAAGTGAGGCAGCTCATTACACTCATTTAGGACCGCATGGAGGCTTTTGGAAAACTGTGAAACTCTTTTAAACCACCTCGGAGCTCAAAGTATAGTAACACTGTGGTGCGTCCCGGGACATGAACGGTTTGAAAGCAACGAAAGTGCTGACTGTCTCGCAAATGCTTTTGCATGATCCCGAGCCTTTCTGCAATGCATCTTACTTAGGGGCGGGGAAGAGTCTCAGAATGCTTCCCACTAGATTAAGTCAAAAGAAAGAAATTCTTAACTCCTTCCAAGAGGAATTCCGAAAGCCTCCTTGACCTTGGTCGGGAGAGCCTTCGAACTCTCGCTGGGTACCTGACAGGGCACTGCAAGTTCAGGTACCATCTGCATAAAATGGAACTGATGGCTGCGGAGAGACTGTTCTGTCGATTTCAAAGTGCGATCTCGTGGTCCTGTTAAATAAAACTTTACAGAGACCTTTGATGATAAAGGCCTAGACCGACCCGAATTCGAATTTTTCTTCAAAATCAAAATAGTGTCCGAATAGTTAAACAGATGCAGACCAGAATGTCTTCTGATGAGCCAATTCAACACAAGTCCTCCTTATGGAACAGATATCATCAACCGACTTGGGCTTGCGGCAACTAGCCATTTAAGATATAGGTATATCGTAATCTCACTACCCACTGAACGACAAAAAGCACCCAAGACAAACCAGGCCATAAATAGAATGCTCCTTTGCTCAAACGGCAAAGAAAAGCCTTATCTTATACCTTTTTAAGTGTATTTGCAATTTCCATTAGAGTTTAATGCAAAAAATTGCATAACACCGCATGGCTGTCCACGACGTAATCGTATCAAACAAAAGCTGCAATAAAATAGTTGTGCATAAAAATGCAAGCCAACAGCAATAAACAAAGCAACAAAGAAGCGCAGAGGCGCAGAAACAAAAAATCCAAGCAACAAAGAAATGCATTGTGGCAGTCGAAACGAAATTTGCGTGGGGAACTTGCAGCAAAAAAAAGAAGCAGAATATGAGCAGAGCGCTGTAGAGATTGTGTGGACTGAAAAGAAGAAGTATGCGCTGTTTTTCTTATAAGAAACGTAGAAAAGGGGAACAGAGAGAAAGAGTGGGGAAAAGTAGTTGTGAAGAGCAGGCGATGAGAAAGCAAGGAAAGCAGCTATTGAAGATAAGAAGCTAGCGTGTGCGTGCTGTCTGGAATGAGTATGCAGCAGCTGTGTCGCTATGACTTTCGATCGGCATTAAAGCAAAGAAAAAGCCGCATGATCATGCAACAGCTTGCCGCAAAACGTAACCCAATAAATAGAAATGGTAAATACAAAAATAAAGTTGCACAATTTTACTTTTTTTCATATAAGTACATACATCCATATGTATATCGAATCCACTACCGCCACTTGTCGTACCTTGCCTTCATAGCTTATGGCGCACGCATTTGATAGCTGTAACAATTTCTTGCGATTAAATAATCATTGAATGACTCCCGTTATGGTTGCCTATAGCCTGTAACTAAATACACAACTCTATTACGGCAACGATTTAACGCTGCGCAGTCGTCGCAGCCACCCGCCGCTGCCTACAATGCCGCACTTTTCTTGCTTTGCATGGACAAAGTTGCATGTTCACTAACAACTATGTATAACTGCCATACAACTTTATTACTTATGCTGCTTAATGTGGTTTGTGGCAACAACATTGAGACCCACTTTCAGTGAGCCGCTGCTTCTTGTTGTACTAACGGGTGATTTTTTTGAGGATAGGATTTTCATGCATTAGTATTTGACAGATCACGTGGGATTTCAGACATGGTGTCAAAGAGAAAGATGCTCAGTATGCTTTGACATTTCATCATGAATAGACTTACTAACGA